CTCCCAAGCTTGTCTCCCTTCATGATTTCGCTTTTGGCTGCCGCTGCTGCCTTGTTTGTGAAGCTTGTCTCCCTTCATGATTTCGCTCTTGGCTGCCTCTGCCGCCTTGTCTGTTCAGCTTGTCTCCCTTCATGATTTCGCTCTTGGCTGCCGCTGCCGCCTTGTCTGTTCAGCTTGTCTCCCTTCATGATTTCGCTTTTGGCTGCCTCTGCCGCCTTGTCTCCCAAGCTTATCTCCCTTCATGACTTCGCTTTTGGCTGCCGCTGCCGCCTTGTCTCCCACGCTTGTCTCCCTTCATGATTTCGCTCTTGGCTGCCGCTGCTGCCCTGTCTCCCAAGCTTGTCTCCCCTCATGACTTCGCTTTTGGCTGCCGCCGCCGCCTTGTCTCCCAAGCTTGTCTCCCTTCATGATTTCGCTTTTGGCTGCCGCTGCTGCCTTGTCTGTGAAGCTTGTCTCCCTTAATGATTTCGCTCTTGGCTGCGGCTGCCGCCTTGTCTGTGAAGCTTGTCTTCCTTCATGATTTCGCTCTTGGCTGCCTCTGCCGGCTTGTCTTGCAAGCTTGTCTGCCGCCTTGTCTCCCAAGCTTGTCTCCCTTCATGATTTCGCTTTTGACTGCCGCTGCCGCCTTGTCTCCCAAGCTCGTCTCCCTTCATGATTTCGCTTTTGGCTGCCGCTGCCGCCGTGCCTGTGAAGCTTGTCTTCCTTCATGATTTCGCTCTTGGCTGCCGCTGCCGCCTTGTCTGCCAAGCTTGTCTCCCTTCATGACTTCTCTTTTGGCTGCCGCTGCCGCCTTGTCTCCCAAGCTTGTCTCCCTTCATGATTTCGCTTTTGGCTGCCGCTGCTGCTTGTCTCCCAAGCTTGTCTCCCTTCGGGATTTCGCTCTTGTCTGCTGCTGCCGCCTGTCTGTGAAGCTTGTCTCCCTTTTATTTCGCTTTTGGCTGCCGCTGCCGCCTTGTCTCCCAAGCTTGTCTCCCTTTGTGATTTTGCTCTTGGCTGCCGCTGCCAGCTTGTCTCCCAAGCTTGTCTCGCTTCATGATTTCGCTTTTGGCTGCCCCTGCCGCCTTGTCTGTTCAGCTTGTCTCCCTTCATGATTTCGCTTTTGGCTGCCGCTGCCGCCTTGTCTGTTCAGCTTGTCTCCCTTCATGATTTCGCTCTTGGCTGCCGCTGCCGCCTTGTCTGTTCAGCTTGTCTCCCTTCATGATTTCGCTTTTGGCTGCCGCGGCCGCCTTGTCTCCCAAGCTTGTCTCCCTTCATGATTTCGCTCTTGGCTGCCTCTGCCGGCTTGTCTTCTAAGCTTGTCTCCCTTCATGATTTTTCTTCTGGCTGCCGCTGCCGTCTTGTCTCCCAAGCTTGTCTCCCTTCATGATTTCGCTTTTGGCTACCGCTGCCGCCCTGTCTCCCAAGCTTGTCTCCCTTCATGATTTCGCTCTTGGCTGCTGTGCCGCCTTGTCTCCCAAGCTTGTCTCCCTTCATGATTTCGCTCTTGGCTGCCGCTGCCGCCTTGTCTGTGAAGCTTGTCTCCCTTCATGATTTCGCTTTTGGCTGCCGCGGCCGCCTTGTCTCCCAAGCTTGTCTTCCTTCATGATTTCGCTCTTGGCTGCCTCTGCCGCCTTGTCTCCCAAGCTTGTATCCCTTCATGATTTCGCTTTTGGCTGCCGCTGCCGCCTTGTCTGTTCAGCTTGTCTCCCTTCATGATTTCGCTTTTGGCCGCCGCTGCCGCCTTGTCTGTTCAGCTTGTCTCCCTTCATGATTTCGCTCTTGGCTGTCCCTGCCGGCTTGTCTTCCAAGCTTGTCTCCCTTCGTGATTTCGCTTTTGGCTGCCGCTGCCGCCGTGGTTCCCAAGCTTGTCTCTGTTCCTGATTTCGCTCTTGGCTGCCGCTGCCGCCTTGTCATTTTCTTGCCTGCCTTTGATGCGGATGCTGTTATAAGATGATTAGGTCCTGTTTACCTTTTCCATCCTTTTCCCCGCTTTGAGTGAAATGTCTCCCAAGCTTGTCTCCCGCTCTTGCCATGCTATCCTTTTCTTGAAGTGCTATCTGGGGTCTATGCCGGTATAATTTATGTTAGTATGTTAGGCCTCGGTAAAAAGTCTAGCGCTCGCCCTCTCCAGAAGAAGAAACATGATGAAGATATGCGTGCCTGTAGATAGCGAACGGCTGCAGACGAAAGGAATGAAAAAGCGTCATCCTTGAGCTGTCAAGTGCCAAGTAAGTAAGCCCTCCGAAAACGCAACCTGAAATGCCACCAAGTTGGCCATGTTTGTTGCGTCATACCCAGGAGCGAACTTCACCACCAACTGTTTGAACTTGCACACTTTCAGCCAACTCTCACTCGAACTGCTTTTGAACACCGCAGTTCTTTTTTGCAAGAAGAATCGGTCTACAAGGCTTCTGGGAGGCCAAAATGAGACATCCTTGGAATCCTTAAAATTTGAACACCCTGGAGATCCCTGAACTGAACATATTTCCCTAACCATGCAAGCACATTCTGCTGGTCACCCTGAGGGCTTATGCGAGAAATTGCTGTCTCCGAGGGCATGAGGCCTGCGCGATTGGGCCTGAACGGAGGTAGGTCATTTGGGGAAATCTCCCTTGAGAGAGTCCCACGTTTCAGTGTCGAACTGTGGTTGTGAACGATGCTTCGCTTGCGCCGCCGACAAAAACAACGTATCTGAGCGGTAAGACACCCCACGGGAAGCCTCCAAGTGATCATGAAGCAGAGGTAGATGTTAAGTCCGTGGAGCATCACAGGCCCAAGATAGCAGATATCGCAAGGCTAAAAGCAATGAGCATAGCGGGTAAGTACTGAGCTTTCAGCACTGGCTGGCAGGCAAGAGGTGGCCATGAACCCAGAGTTTGTCGCTGACATCAAGCGAAAGCACAAGGTGGTCCATGGGAAGTGGCCGCTTTGGTACGACAGCTGGTCGCTCTCCTTGAACTCTGGCAGGTGAAGCTTCATGAGCAGTGTTCCTGGTGCCACCCCAGAGCAACGGTTTTGCCGATTCTTCAGATGCAGTTCGGCAGGTGGATCATGTGACCAGTATCTTCACGGATCCTCGATTGCCAAGCGATGATTGCTTGGATCCCAGTATTTTGACTTGTAAAAAGCAATGACAACATGCGAACGGCATAGATCAACAATTGATGCCCGCCAATATTGGTGCCATTCTCTCTTCATACAGTATCTATTTTCGCTTTGCCAACTGGTTGTGGTTGACTTATATCAGAGGCAAAGAAAGCAGCTGGTATCAAAGGGCTTGAGCTCGGGTCAAGTCTGGACGTGTCAAGTATGATTTTAATCACCGATGCGCCTCGCTTTTCTCAACAAGAATCCAAGTTGTATGCGTCCGGCATGGGAGCAGTATTCACTCAAATCGGTTTGGAGTGGAGTCCGCTGCTGAGCAGCTGAGGCAGCACATACAATTTGCACAACCAGTTCCAGGGGCACCTGGTCGAAGCCCTGTTGTGTTGGCAAACGAAAACAGCCACGAGCCCTGCACGTCCATTTTTGCAAACCAGCAGTCACCATGGCTGGCAGTGCTCCTCACATCAATAGGTGATGTGCAAGGTTGTTTGTTGGAGAGCTGTAACCAAGTGCCTTCGGGCGCAATTGCAGCAGCATTCATGAAGTAGGCGGGCAACATAGGCCATTTCTCTGAACTCGAGCACTGCAACGGCCTGATTGATCGTATTGAAGACTTCTCGTGTTGTTGCAACTTGTTGCTCGTTTGTGCGTTTGTTGAGGCCGATCGGGTGGACAAGAAGCACTTCTTGCAGAAGAACTTCTACTCGGTGCGGGGAGTTAGGGTCGAGGTAAAATCTCTTGAATACCAAGCGACCATTTCCCTAACTTGCAACATTCTTTTTCAGTAGCTACCTAAGATTCCGCGCTCTTCCACTTCACTCTTCAGGGCAGGGTATGCATTGACAGCACTGAAATAGGAGCTGCTTATAGCAGGTTTGTTCTATTCTTGGATCATTTGGGCTTGTTCTATTCTTGGATCCTTTTGGATCGACTTCTGTTCGGTGATCAGGAGTATGTGGAAGCACTTGCCAAGCAGAAGGGTCTGATGAGCCTTGGAAGAAAGGGCCATTCTGAAGGCCAAGGCCTTTGATTTTGTCCGCTGTGAAAGCCCTACGGCTCCTATTCACTCAAGGTCTTTTTCGACCTACCGATTCAATGCATGATATCTTGATGGCATTTTCTCGTTGGCAAGAGAACGCTACTGTGATGAACTTTTTCTTGAGTCCTTGGTATTGCAAAAAGGGTTGCCCCATCTAGACTTAGAGCAAGTGCTGGAGTCAAAGAATGTGGGTCAAGTCCTACTCTGCTTTGTGAAACTGGCGGATGTGGAGCCGATCCCAAGGATGGAGAAGAACAAAGGAGCCTAGAGCTGGAGGAAGACAATGCCCTTGGCCTAAGATGTTGAGACCGGAGGGGAGCACATTCGCACGATTGCCAAGCTTCTTTAAATCATAGGGAAGGTGCGGCAATGTATGTTGGCAAGAAGAGATTTGGGACCAAACTGTGTGCGAAAAGCCAAATGTGAATCATGGCCCTGTCAGAACGACGATGGCACATGTGACGTGTCGCTGGTTAAACCTCCAGGGTTTAGCGCCAATGGGCAGTGCGGCTGGTTTTGGACCATACAAAACGGCAGCGTTTCTCAAAACGGCTTGTTTGGCTGAGTTTGGACAGGTGCGCCTCTCAAAGCCAACCACCCAAAGGGGCGGTGTCCGGTGTAGGCGTGATGTACTTGGCGTTTAAAATGCGCCAAGTCCCAAACGCAGAGCGAATGGGCTTGGTGTTCAACAGGACTTCATATTGTGGTTGCCCTTCCTGAAGCTACATGCAGCAAAGGTGTCAATGTGTTTTTGTGACTTTGGCCTGTGCTAGGCCTGGGTTGGAAGTGTGCTTGGATCTGTGAGCGTGGTGCTCGCATAGTTCTCACAGACTTTGTCTCACCATAGAAGTCGGTAATGTCATGGGAATTTTGGATGGCAGAACAGGCGCCCCTTGCAACAAAGCCAACGAAACGGGTGCCTTTGGCGCACGAACCGCCTGGTTCTCCCTCCAAAGCTCCAAGTTGGGGGGCAGGAATGAACTCGAGCAATGGCAGTGATGAAATCTCCAGCCATTGCCTTCCAGGGCCCCCGGCCGAATCGAAAAGGGTCAGCGGACTGGACTCGGACAAGCACCGAGCACAGTTCTGAGTCCTGGCTGTTTTTTTTGGTGATCCTTTTTCTATCTCTCATTTCATCAACACCCTTGGTGAGCACTGACAACACTTCCAAATGATGTAGGTGAACGCCATGTCATACAATTTTGCTGAAATGGTGTTGCTACTAAGAGCTCTTTGCTTTGATCTTTACTTTCCGCCGCCTTTGGACTTGAGCAACAGCAACGTTTCTGTCCTGCGAACTACAGGCCGACGGAGCGATTGCAGCTGGTCAGACGTACTGGTCCCGCCAAACTCGAAAGGAGAGATCTGACGACATAGGTGAAAGAAAACATTCAAGCTGAGGTTCCTTTAAAGGGGCCTTATGAGAGTGGTCCGTTACTACTTTTCTTTCATTGTACACTCGCCTGTCGTGGACCCCTCAGCTCTGGCAGAAGAGCTTCATGCGAACCGGAGGTGTCTGAAGTGCGAACTTGACCACAGAGCTGGAGCTTCACTTCGGTTCGATGGCAAGTGGAGCACCATATGCCGGATTGGTTCAATAGGTATGTCCTGTTTTGGTGAGAGGTGCATACCTTGCTGGGATTAGTCAGACTGTTACTGTAAGTCACTTTGAGATTAGCAGCTTCTCAATAGTAGGTGAGTTTGTATCACACACACAAAAATATAGTTAATATTTATATTATATATATCTCTATAAGAAAATATTTTTGTTAAACGATATATAAACAATTTTTGTAATATATATATAATATTTATGAGATATATATATATATACATAGGGGGAAAAGCAATATGTTTTTTGGATTGGTTCGTATTCTATACTCCAGGATGGTTGTGTGTGTATATATACAAATACTGTAACATACATGTCGATTGAAATTGTGAACTCCTGTCCTCTTGGATGAAGGCTTCTTGCGGCGCGTCGCCGAAGCTGTGGACGCTTTTCATGGGCGGCAGATGTGGCCAGTGCAGGCGTTGAGCCAGGGTGATGGAGCAGGGGACGATGGAGCTTTTCTCGCCAGCACGGGCAAGCATGGGCAAGCGTTAGCAGATGGAGTGCGTATGGATGCACACGGGTTAATGTAGATCACTCATCAGCACTAGTGCACTGAAAGAGTTTGCAAGCTTGATGTGAGACCATCGAATGTGATGTGTATGACAAACAAGCGGGCATGGACAATTTGGTGGGAAAACATGCTAGCAAGCAAGTGGTTTTGAAGACTTGGATGCTGGACTTGTTTGGTTGAATCCCTGTCTTGCAGGTTGCTATTGCTGCATCCGTGTTCTTGGAAGGGGCCTTAAGAGAGACAGCCAGCTCAACATTGAGTTCGATCGGAGAGCTGTGGAGATTGACGTTTGTGTTGTTGGAAGAACTGGCATCTCCAAGAATAGGCACCATCAGAATGGGAGATTCTTCCTTCTTCGGAGATGCTCACAGAGATGGAGCAGGTCTACTTTTTGTCGAATTGTTTGGATGAGGTCCGTGCCCGAAAGGTGCCAGCAACTCGGCAGCAAACCCGGCAATTGACCAATTTTCGGTTCGTGCGACAGCTGATTGGTTGGTGATCCTAACAATAAGTTGGATCCAGATCTGACCATTTTCAGTAGTTTGGTGTTCCTGGACATTTACAGGTGACCGACACCGCTTATTTTTTTGTAGATGGCTTTTTGTGTTGGCTCTGCCCTGATCAACTAGGATGCCTCGGTTCAAAAAAACACGTCTCCTCCCGAGTCAAGTTCGAAGCCACTGAGGAATGCCAAGGAACTATGCTGAGTTGTACAAAGGAGATCCTTTAGAGAGGGGAGTGTTGGGTTGTGGAAGGGGACCTTGGATTTTTCACAGGACCTTGACAACAACACATCCAAGTGTTGGGGTTGGAATTTTCATCCAATTTCAGTGACCTGCGATTTTGAGGAGGCTGGTGATGATCCATGCCCCTTGGCCGAGAGCTGCGCGAAGATCTTCCACACATGCCCGCAAAGAGGTGCCAAATGGGGAGCAGCATGCAGAGCTTCTGAAAGAGCTTTGCCATCAAGGAACCTCATTGTTTGACACTCTTTGCCAGCCTTTGCGTTTCAATCAGCATTCTTACCAAGGACTAGTAAGAGCTGAGACGAAAGTCCTGGAGAACTCCAGTTGCGCAAGCTTTCTTTGGAGCTTTGCGAGGTACCTTTCGACGATGTGAGCTTGGGCGCCAAGCTGGCGTTCACAGCTGGGAGATTCGACAAAAAAAGAGAACTGTGGAACCTGAGTCGACAGCCTCAGACAGTATATTCATTAGATACACAGAATTGCTGCTCATCTGTCCCAGAAGAGGAAGAAGCAGCAGCAGCAGCTGCGGCAGCAGCCGCAGACCATGACCATGTCAACTTTGATGTTCCAAGTGACCAATCGATTGTAGAAAACCTCGCGGTCGCTGCCACCTAAAAGCTGCATGGTGTTTACACATTTTGTTGCAATCAAATGCTTGTATGCCCGAGTCGCTGACTTCCAACTACCGTAGATTCACAGACGCACATACATGTATCACCACAAGCAGCAAGCTTGCGCAGGCTGACTGCAGCTGGGACATGCGCAGCAGGCAGCACATGTGGCTCATCTAATCTATGCCGGAGCAACCGATCGCAGACGCAGACGTGGGAAGGGCAGCCGCCGATGAGTCGGCGCCACCCCTTAATTAAGTCAGGGGCGCCCCTTGCTGAAGGCGGCGGGGGGAGCTTTCCTTGAAGAATCGCTCGAATGATTTGGTTCCTAAGAAAGTTTTTGGAAACTTGACTCAGAGGACTCTTCGTTTACATGTAAAAAGATCCAGCTAAATGTGACGTGAGATAAGATGGGTCGTTCAACCTGGAGCGGTCGGTAGGTCAACCGGTCGGTCTCCTGGTTTTTACCCACAGACATATCATGACATACTGATAGTCAGAATGCTACGTTAATCGGAGTTCTACTGCTTCGTTTTGTTTGTTGTTACGTTCGTAGCGAACCTTGTTCCTAGTAATAAAGCCAGGAGCACCGTTCGTACCTTTGACTTTGAGCCGTGCTGTCTCCGATCCATGTGCAGCTGAAGACACTTTCTTGAGAGTCTTCTACCAGACAAAGAAAGACCACAAAACTGATCCGCCAGCGCGGTCGAGAAATTGATTCGGCCCAGCTCAGGCTACATTGAGTGCTGGGGACGGAGGGTCCCAGAGGTCTCGAGTTGTGTCCAGGCAACTAGAAGCGCTGTCGCCGCCGACACGTTGGATTCGTGGAGTCCAAAGGGGAGATGCATGGGACCAAAACAAGAACCATTTTGTCAACAAAATCAAGAGGATACACATTCGCGGGTGGAACCTCTTCCGGAACCAGCTTGTGATAAATCAGATGCCTAATCGGATGTCTCAAGTTGTCTCAGGCTCCAAGGCCTGGCAGAGTCAAATTCTGCTAGGTGCCCATCGAATCTTGCCAAGACGCCTACGTGGTTGATGAGGATGGAAATGGTGTACTCTGAACCTCGATGCAGAAACAGTTTCCGTTACAGGGGTTCGAGGTGGAGGTGCAGCTTAGCACAGGTCTGATATGTGTCGTCACCATTTCAGAAGAGCTTTACAAGGTTGATTGAACGAGGAAGTGTCGTTCCAACTGCAATAAGTCTCAATTGATCAGTGATCATGGGTCTATCGGGGCCTTTCTCCGGTGGATCAACCACCTGGTTTTGAGAGATTCCGGATTGGGGGCGACAGAGAGCTTGATGCTCCTGACGACGTTTTGCCGAAAGCACTCTGTGCTCGGTGTGTTGCCACCAAGGTATGCTGAAATCCAATGAGGAGACTCAGATTGCAGTGGATTTGCCGGCAATCTCTTCTTGAACAATTTAAACCACATTCAGCACATAGATCTAGTTGCCAATTCGCATAGAAAGAAAAAGGTTTGGAACCGCCACGTCAGACGCGTGGAGAAACCACTTTCTTCGTGGACTTGACAACTGACGCACATTGATTCGCCTTTTGGAGTTTGGAGACGCACATTTTTTGACACCGTTTCACAGGTTGGGATGTTGCTAAAATCAGAAACGGACAAACGTGTCCTTCCTTTTCTTGTCAGGAATGCACTGAGAGGCAGGGAAAGTGGTCGCAGCATTCCTGAACTCCGTTCATGCCACATTGGGCATTTGGCCTCGGCTCCTCACAGGTCAAAGTGCTTTGCACCTGCAGAGATTGCTGAGCAGACTTAGTTGTTGGTGACTCGGGGCTTCAAACGAGGCCCTGCCTTAGCAGTTGGCAAAACAGAGATCCCTTGGTCATTGGACCCTCAAATCTGCGGTTTGCTTGTTGGGCTTTGGAGGCTGAAGAAGGATTACAACAAGGAGTGTGTGCTTGGTGTCTTTTTGGATCCATTGAGCCGATGCTTTTTTCGTGGCTCCAGACCTGTCAAGCCAACCGAGAAGTGTAGATGCACGCAGATGCGCTGCGGGACCTGATTTCAAGAAGTCTAGAAACTGACCACGCAGTTCCGAACGACCACGCAGTGTCCAGCTTCGTTTTTCAGTCGGTGACCTTCGGGGCACTAGCCATGCGTTGCCGTACAGCCATGGCACTTGGAATCCTGGCGCCAGTCCAGGTGTCCGAAGACCGCGGTAGACTCGACTCGAGCATGCTCACGCCGTGTTGGCTTGATCAAGCGCATGTTTTTTTTTGAATTATTTTGAAGCGACACAGAATGTAGCTGGTGAGATTATATTTGATTGCAACAAACCCAATGTGTTTTTTGCAAAATTATGATGGAGCGCTGTTGCGAGAATGTGAGGAGCATCTTTGCCAGTGACACAGGCAAGATCTTGATCTCTATCTCTTACACATGTGGCTGCACAGTGCTTGGCTCCAGACACTGGCCACAGGTTTGTCCTCCAAAAGAATTCAGCGAATCACCGTGGGTCAGCTGGCCACGGATCTTCAATAATTCACCAGATGATTCATTCTCCAACCAAATGATGATGGAGTGAATCCTGGAGTCACTGGATCTGCTTTCTACGTTCCCCCGATCCATCACCGACCTACCGCCACTGCCCGGACTCCCGAACCGCCATGGCAAGCATCCCTTCATTGGAGCCCTCGATGGCAACGCCCAGGCGATCCACGCGACTTGGTTTCAAGCAGGATGGGGCATGTCGCAGCGTCAGTGGCACGTCTAGGCCACTGAAAGGTTGCTGTTCGACAGGGGGGATTCCACACGTGTGGTTTCTTTCTTTCGCGTACTCATGCCACCATTTCACAGGGGTTTCTGGAAAATCCTCGAGTTCCCGGGTTTCCGAAGCTGGGTGAGGGGGCAATGGAGCCACAGATCAAACTTGGAAGGTGCTGCTTTTTGGAGGCAAGACATCATGAAGCACAAACTCACCTGCATGCTCTCAACTACTCAAGCTGGCAACGGTGTTTTGAGTTGATATATATAAAGCGGAGGTTTTGAGGATGGAAGTGCTTCAGGGTCTTCGTGTTTTGATTCAACAGAAGGGATGACGAACTTCAACCATTCAAACTTTGGTTCCAATTTAAGATTCAGTGGGCTAAAAATGGGAAGCCTTTCAGTGCCATTGAATGCTTTGGCCGTCCGAACCATACTTCCAGTCTCAAACGAGGCTTATGGAGCCGGCGTGGCTCAAGAATGGATCTCCCCGTTTCACGTCGGGTGGTGGTAGATGAAGGATGATCTCATCTCTGGATCTTTTCGGACATGAAAAGACCTACATACTGAAGTAGCTGTTTTCGTGTGTCGCCCAGGAGCCGCAGGCTGTCCATGCCAGCTGTTCTGCCTAGTGGTATGCTGGGCCCTCAGTATCCAGACGGGCTTCTTTGGAGTGTTCAAACGCCAACATTTTTCCGTGCACACATGTTTCTCATTTGTTCCTTCTACCATCACAGGCTACAGGGAACCTTACAGACCCACAAAACAGATCATGACCATCCCTCGAGTTTGGGCATGGGTGGAACTCTAGTTCTAGAACAGCCAAATCTGAAAGGACTTGGTCTATGACGAGACACGTGATTGTAGTGGATCATAGTCAGTTGACAGGACATCAGTGCTCGAAAGGATCAGTGTCGGACATGGCCCTGGCTCGGACAGTTTCATTTATCATACTTAGAACTTAAAACCACTTAGTTAACAAAGAAGCAAGTTCACATGATTGAGGAGGAACGGCATATTTCCAATCGAGCAGTCGAGCAGCTAGGTTTCATTTTCTTGTCCCAGACAATCCTGGGGCCTGGTCGAGACGCGCTGCAGACCAATTTCACGCCTAATGCCACTGCAAGAGACATCCCTGGGAACCAATGCCAGGCTTTGCTGAACACGGCTTTTGTTGTTTTCTTTTGAGATGTTCCCAGCCAAGATCAAAGGACGCTGAGATGGGCTATGATGGCCTTGGAGCCATAGGCACACCAAAAATACACAAACACATTGGTTGGATGCCATGGCAGCAGATGACCCTGATGCCGAGGCTGCCAGAAGGTTGCAAGTTGGGGGCTTGTATGATTGTTAGTCGAGCCACAGTGGCTCCAGAAGCTATTTCCAAAATACAATATGATATAACATGCATTTCCTTGAAGCCCAGACGTCGCCAGGGGCTTTGGAAGAACCTCTTGTCTGAGGGCGTCTTGCAACACTTCAAGGACAGCATGAACGTGAGTGGATTCCAACCCCAGGAAATCGAGTGCTCAGTCTGCAGAGTGTATTCTTCTGGCCTTGGGTGGACACCCGGAACCTCCCCGAAACCTTCGGCATCCTTTGAGTAGACGGAGTAGACTGAAGGTATTTTACGACCTGCTTCACATGAGCCAATGGTAGCAAACACAGGATGTGGCGATCTCTCCTGTTTAGAACGGTCGTGAACAGTCGGGTCGAGTCTATTCAGGGTCCTTTGGAACTGGAACGGGCTTCGCAACTCCTTTTGACCATCATGCCATCGGCTCATGCATGTTTGGCTCAGCCCGGAACCACCATGGTTTTTCACGTCATTCCACTTGCCACCCATGCTGATAGCTGTTCGCTGCAGGAAGAGAAGCCCAGCGAATTCTTGCATCTGGTATTGAAGGGGGTCCCGGAGAGCCTTCGCTCTGAGGCAGGAGGGGTTTGGAGTGGCTCTTGGGCCATGGCGCAGGGGAGGGACTTTTCCGAACAGAGAACACGGAGGTTTGCCCTCAACATGGGCTCGGCCTCTCGGAGAAACGAACAGGACCCCCGAACTGAAGAGCTTCAAAACCTGGAAACACTCATCCGGTTGCCCTGGGATTGCACATGGACAGAGGCACTGTCAACGAACATTTGCAAGCGCTGAACATCGTGCTTTGAGGTATGGCGCACGTTGCTGAGGGCCAGAGCTGCGGAAATTGATGCTCAGGTAGTGGGCTGCTTAGACTTGGAGAGCTCATGTGACAGCAATCACTTTACGCTCTGCTGGACTTGACCCCTAGATTCTAGATTGTGATTCAATACGCCGAACTCTCAGGAAGTTATATATCATATACTGTAGAGTACGGTATATATATATAGAAATCAATGCAAGGGTGGAGCTCCAGCAAGGCACGCGGGGAGAAGACCAAGATGAGTTGCCTGCGCAATGACCGTCTTTGTGTCCGGGGCCCCATCGTGCTCGATGTTGTATGTGCACTCTTGAAAGCAAGTAGTCTTGCAAGTACTCAGTTCTAGGTAAAAAAGATCAACACATGCTCCCTGCTAACCCCACAAACAGCGACAAGACTAGTGCCATCCCGCGTAACTGTAGTAGGTTTTTTGTCAAGGCCGGAGGGTCATCTATTCAACAGAAGGTTTGCTCAACTGTAGGAAGCAGAAATACAACCAGAAATTCCACCCTGTTTGGCATGCGTATGCATGCCACGACACCAAAAGCAGTCCATCACTTGCATGGCGATCGGTCCAAAATATGACTATAGTTCCCCCTCACGAATGCGAATGAGGCGCGCGACATGTTCCCAGCATATCGTTGCCACGAAGAGAACTTTTTGTTTGACAACCACAGGTCTTTACTCCTGACCTGACCGTTTTTCTGTGCAACTGTTGAACAGTTTCTTTGTGCAGCGCACCCAGGACTTCCCACCACTTTCTGACGTTGAGCTGGATCCCAAAGTCTCGCGGCAGATTGAGCTCGACCTGCCGAGGAGACTCGTGTGACCTGTGTTGAGTGGGAGGTCCTCAAATGCAGAGGACGGGATGGCCTCAAACACTGCGATTCGCGAGTCTTCGCGGTTTCCATTTGAGTCTTCGCTCCAGGACATTCCCAGAGATTCCTCACTTCGATCTTCCAAAGCAACAGAAAATGGAACAAATCTTGCGCTCCTACGCGTACCATGAACCTCAGATAGGCTGGCAGCCCGCTCAAGTTTGGCATAAAACATACTAGTAGGAAAGCCATCTCAATAGGGATCCTTAGAATCAGCATTCATTCAACTCCAGCACCCTGATGATGCTGAAGTTCTCACTTTCTGATTGTTTTGTTAGCACGAACTAGGGCAGGCTCTGAGTCACGATGTTTCATACACTCATCAACTGCAACTCGGCTCTCGCAGGATACTGCCAGGGGATGAACTACATCGCCGGAGTCCTTCTGCTGGTTCTTGGCAACGTGGCTGATGCGTACCAAGCCTTCGTGGTCTTCATGAACGGCTTCGGACTTGCAGGAAATTTGATATCAGTGAAGCTGGAAGGGTAGAATTGGTTCAGTATGTACAGTAGACTTCTGCTAAGCGTGTGTGCCGCACCTGGCTGTGGACTCTGTAGACCTTCCAGGTGTTGCCCATAGTGGAGCGGCTAACAAGCCCCTCGTTTGGCAGCTTTTGCCCACGCCAGATTGATGCTGAACACGTGAAGAGTTTTCATGGTTTCATCATGTTTCATTCAGTGACAGGTGGCTACTGTGTTTTGATGGCGACATGGCCTGCCAGGATTTTATCTAGATGATCTTCCGCTCATGTTGGCCTACAGCTTCGCCAGCTTGCGCCGAATGAAGGATAGCTTGCCACAGCTCCACGACCACTTCTGCGAGGCAATCAAGAACTGACGGAGTCCATTCTTTATCGCATTTCTTTGACACTCTTCTTTGGAGACAGCGTAAGGCTATTGGGGTCTTCAGCCAACATCGCTTTGGGGTGATCTCGGGCACGGGACAAAGGTTCCGGAATGCAGGACATGAAGAAGAAGCCCAAATCCACAGGAACACATTGG